CAGGACAGCCCCTATGGTGGTGTCTGCTGCTCCCCCAGGCACATTGCAAGCTCCCAGCGAGTCTAGCTGGTCCGTGGGTCCTTCTGGCCATCCCACTGCTGGCTGGACACATCATGGGCTGTAGAACACCTGGTGCATCTCAAGATGATCGTCCCAGAGTGGTCCCTTCCCCATGGTATTGCTTTGCTTTGCTAAGCTGTGCCTGGTCCCCTCTCTCATGCAAGAGATGTTTGTTGTACCATTTCCCAGTGAGATTTGGTAAAGTCCAGAGGGGCTCTCAGGGGACTACTAGAAGCAAGTATGCTGACCTCGGTGTGGGACTTGTGCCACCCATGAGAGCAGTGCCCTGCCCCTGCCTGCCATTGCCCTGCCCAGGCCAGTGGATGCTCGGGGGCAGGACTGTGGGATGTGCGGGGCCATGACTCCCTTTCCCTCCCAGGATTCTTGCTGGCAGCTGCCTCTGGCCTCACCTCCAATCCTTCCAGGGCTGAGTTATTGTTTGAAGCACTCCAAGGACACGGGTTGTTGTTGCCGATAAGTAACAAGGGACAGCTCCGCCCCAGCAGGAACAGCTCGTCGGCCAGCTTCCCATCCGCCCCGGAAAACATTGTCCCATCTCAGCGAGCAGCGTCCCTCCAAACCTGCCGCAGCCTCGATGGCAGCCGCCACAATGCGACACTCGGTAAGTGCCGGCCACAATACTTGGATAGTTTGGGGGGCCTGGGATGGGTGGCAACCACTGTTGGCTCTGACGAAAACAAGAGAGACGGTGGAAATTTAAAAACAAGCTTAACGCTGCTCTTGAGCCCCATTTGTGTGGGGTGTTTGCAGGTTGGCATTGCCATGGGGCAGGCAGCATCCTCCGGCACGTGGCAGCTCTGGCATGTATCCTAAGTAGGGAGCGACTGGCAGAGGTCTGAAGGCCACTGCCTTTTTTAGTACTTTTCAAGGGCTGGAAACAGGCATTTGGTCAAGATGAATATTCCTGGGGCAGGTTTGATGCTGCCCTGGTAGCTTACAAAGGAAGACCGGATAGGCAATTAGAAATACAGCCGGTGGAGTCCGCGCCTTTTATCACTGAGCACAGAGCAGCCCCGCAGCCATGTCCCCGTCACCCAGTGTGTGCAGCACCTCCCTGGGCTTCACAGGATTCCCAGCACGAGAGCCTGGCTTCATGCCCGTGGAGAAGGGGCAGGCAGGGAGAGATCTGTGAGGGAAGTACTCCCTGTCCTGGCAAGGGGAGTGCTGGAGGTGTGTGGGCAGCTGGGGCTGGGGGAATGCCTCATGGTCGGGGCAGATGCCCACGCTAGTGGTGCCTAGATATTGCTCCCACGGCATTTCTGGCTGCAGAAGCTGCTTCCCCCGCAGGGCCTGCCAGCGGGTGCAGGTTTCTGCCTCACTGA